GTGTGTGTGTGTGTGTGTGTGTGTGTGTGTGTGTGTGTGTGTGTGTGTGTGTGTGTTTGTGTTCATATCACTATTGACTTTGAACTTTAATGGACCAAAATTCCCTGGGTGTTTTCAGAATTGCCACTGTCCTGTCACATCTTCCTCCCACTTATGCCTACCAGTTACATCTCCATTCTGCAGACGTGTTCAGAATTGGTAGTTGCCTGTGCATATTTCTAGAGAGAGTCTTTCTATGTGGATACAAATGTCACTAGACACATGGGTATGCACCTTACTTTTTTCACTACCCGTATGTGTTGGAGAGTCTTTCATATCATTTTATCAAAAGCTTCCTTAGTTCTTTTTTAAAGACTACATCATGTTCTATGGTATGAATGTCTCCTATTTGTCTAACGAGTCACATATCAATGAATATTCATATAGTACCTAATCTTTTGCTATATTATCATTGAATAACTTTGCACATCTCTCATTTTCCATATTTAGTAATCTATCCTACAGTTTTGTTTTTAAGAGTAGAATCGCAGGGCCACTGGATATGTGCATATGAAATTTTGTTACATATTTTGGTATAAATATGTACCTATTCTACCTATTCTCACTTCCACCAGCAATGTATGAGAGTGCCTGTTTGGGGGAATTTCTGACCATATTTGTTCATCTTAACTGCAGTAGGTAAAAGTAATCAACTGGATTTTAATTTCCCAAAGTTTGTCTAGGGTTGGATGAATTAAGCTCAAGCCAGAGGTTCTCCACCCTGAATATAATTAGTCATCGTATTTTTGAGAGGTAATTTGATCTCATGTATATCCCAATCCATATAATAGTTAGCACCATTAAAATAGGAATCAACTGTTTTAAAAACATAAACCTTTGGTTTCGTTACTTAATGCATTTAATTGGGAATTAATGCAGACGCGCTTTTAATTGGGAAGCTCCACTGAATCATATTATTTATAATCGTTTTTGTTTAAAGTTAATTGTGAGGGGGGTCATTATTCATTTGTTGCATTAGTGGGACTGAATCTAAAGATTCGCTAATTGAAAAAAAATTTAGTAAAGTGATCCCTGTCTCTGTCTCCATAGGGCCTGACCTCATTTACAAATGGGATTTCCTCTGCAGAAGTCAGCCTTGATTTTGTTCAGAGAGAGCTCCTTGTGTCTTGTTCCTTGTGCTGCGTGTCAGTGTGGTCTGACAGCAGTCCCCAGGTCCTGGCCAATGATACCAGTGTCACATTACTTTGGTGTATCCTTGAGGTAGCCACGCAACCAGCCGCCTCTCCGGCTGCTTCCTCCTGATAGCTTGTAGGTAGTAATTGCATTTGCAGCCTGAGGACATCTGTTTCCAGCAGAGCAGCTCAGTGGCCCTGAATTCTGAAGTGCTTAATCAGAGCACTGGGGAGAGTAGGGGGCAGCCATCTCCAAGGCCTTGTCACTGGCTCCCCAGTCCTGCCTTTCATACGAGAAGCAGCCTATCATTTTCACTAGGCTGAAACGTGTCCAGAAAAGAAATAGGACCAGCTGCCACATGCCAGGGTATTCCGTGATCACAAATGAATGTCCTGATTTTCACTAGATGTGTCGGTGCTTTGGATTTCTTAGAGGGCTGTTTTAGCCCTTATCTCTAAGGCCGTGAGACAACAGCCTGATATTGGGGTGGAAAAAGTTCCTCGTAACTGAAATATTTTAACTGTGTTTATTGGTCTCCTGGTGTAAGCTGTCAGTTGGTAGTTTACTCCAAACTGATAATAAGCCTATAGTACTCAAGCATCTGGTATGTTTTTTTTTTTTGTATTTTGAGGACTTTTTTTTATAAATACTTGGTTAAAAATATTACTCTATTTGCCATGGAAACTCTCCTATTTTATAGTAGTGGGTTTTCTTTCAATATAAAAGTTAATAAGTAGTATTCTAAAGGGTGTTAGAACTCTGAAGGGATTAGAATTAATTTTCATCCTTGTACCATCCAACTTAGGCCCTCAATTTTCTAACCACACATTAGGGTTTTAGTTTTTAAGTAAAATATAGGCCCAATTAATTATCACCAACGCTGATACTGGTTACTGTAATTGAGCAGCTATTGCATTACTATCTGAAAAGAAATTTGTAAAGTGATAAAGTATTGTATTTGTGATAAAGGGTCTTTGACTTTTTAAGGGCCGTAATTTAATCAGCAGCAGTATGGGGCTTCTCTGGAAAGAGGACTAGTTTGGAAAGGGAATGGGGAAATAAAGCTGTTGCCAGGACCTTGAAAAGCAAAGCATTTTACAAAATAGGTTCCATAATTAGTTATTACATCTCTGAAAAGGGAAGCCTTCTCTAACTACCAATCCACTCGCTGACTTTTATTTCAAATTGATGCCTGAGACTCCCTTGATTTCAAAAAATCACCAGAAGAAAGAAAAAGTAAGACATTCTCTTTTTAATAAAAAAAATAGGAAGTAGCATTTCAAGTAACATTTTTTTTCCTGTTTCCAAGCTGTTGGTGGACATGAATTTCTTTAATATCCAGTTCTAATGCAAAAAAGGATGCTTGCATTTTGACTAGCAGCCTGAAATGTTACTGGCCAGTTTGGATGTAGAGTCTGTTATTCAAAACTATTGTTTCTTTTTAGATGTTTTTGACCCTAACATACTACTTTTTAATAAAAAACAAAATATTTTTGTCAGTTAACTAGGCTGCAATTCTACAGCAGTGTTGGTCAACCTACTGCTAAATCTTATTTAATGTGAACTTGTGTATTTTGGAAGTTGGTGTCAACAAGTGTTTTTTGTTTTTTTTTTGAAATGAATTTTAAAGATGCCCGATTTATGCCTTTATGGACCAGTCTAGATTATGGTAAAGAGAAGTAGGTGCACATGTAACCTTCCCTATGCTCTTCATTATTTTTATTAACCTAATGATACATATTATATTCTTTAAAATTATTATTCTCAGTATGGTACTTTATCTCCCTCTACTTTTAATCCTCCCTCCCACCAAATGGACAGTTATTTCTGCTGCCTTCTTCAGGCTCTGTCAGCTTTAGTTTGTCTTTATGAGAAAAGGGGATGGATACACAGTCAGTAAATATTGAAAGAAAGATCTTCCTCTCTTTTACGCAACGATGTTTCTATGAAAATCCTAGTCTATTATTTAGAATATTGTTAAAGAGACATCGTTAGTCAAATAATTTTTAGTGTCTACTTAAGACTCTGAGGGTTTACTGTTTATTCAAAATCAAGTTCCCTGCATACCAAGCTTGAGAACACATAGTTCTATAAACATATGATACTGCATATGGATCGAGTCTCCTCGTCTCTTAGCCACTGATTTGTTTTTATTTTCTTTCCAGAGGCCTACATATAAAAGGCTTATATGTCACTTTTCTTTTTTTCTTGGCCCTGATTTTATATCGCTTTTATTTTTTAGATACCTGAATTTATCTGACATAGCCTTTACAATTTAATAACTTTATGAAGAGACGATAGGGAGCTTAGATTTAAAAATGTAATGAGCTGAACTTCGTATCTTCTGTAGGGTCAATGAGGTTGCAAAGATAATGACTCAGTTTAAAATTCTGGAAAAAAAAATGCAAAGAGCATTTAACCTTAACTCCTTGAAAAGCAAATGTTGGTGCCCCATCGCTGGCTGCTAATGTTTTTGACTTCACTTTCTGTAATTATTTTAGGACTTGCTCAGTGCTGTAGAGGTGAAAGAAGCCCTCGAAAGGGAGGTGAAGATCTTCCGAGAAAGGCTGCTTGCTGGCCAGCGGGCCTGGGACGCCTCGAAGCGGGAGCTGAGCCTGGTGAAGCAAAGCTCTTGCGAGTTTGAGAAGAGTTTGAAGGCCAGTCTGGATGCAGCCGCAGCCTTGCAAAGCCAGTCTTCCTCATTTAGGGAGAAAATTGCAGCCCTCCTTCGAGGCAGCGTGGGCATGAGTGGGTCCTCGGAGGAGGCAATTTTGGAGAAGATTCAAGAAATGGTCAGTCAGGAGGAAAGCCGGAAAAGGGTGAGTGGGTGACGGCTGTTTATAAGCATCTTAAGGACAGCAAACTCATTCATTTAGCATACTCAATAAATGAGTTATCTGGTTTAGTTAAAAGTATCATTTAAATACTTTTATTACTTTCAATTGTTTATCATACTTACGAAACCTAGAGAGTCACTCAAGCGACAGCTAGCTACACTGTGGGTTCTGGGGTCAGACCTCCTGGGCTGAACCTGTCTCCATTGCACACTCACTCCAGCCGTGACCTTGGCCATGTCCCCGAGAGTACAGCCTCTGAGATTTTATTTACTCTCCTGCCATACAGGAACAGCCCAGGGTCCACACCACTTGTCTGAAACCCCTGTTTTGGAATTCAGAATTTTTCAGGCTTTAAAAAGGTAAAATAGTACACAGAAAGGTAAGAGAGAAAGCACTCTTACACAGCCCGCCTCCGTGGGGTCGGGGCAGCACCCCATAATCAATCACATTCATTGTTCTCGAGCAAAACCTGTGAGCATGTCCATCAGGTGCGGTAGACACACAAGGCTCTGAGAAGCCTCGTGTCACTTCAGGTCAGGGTTTGCTGCTACATCTGGGTCAGGTCAATCTTCATCAGTAAATGAGGTACAAAAAAACCTGTCAGTTTTCAGATCCTTTTGGATTTTGGAATTATAGATAAGGGTTCCTAGACCTGTAACAGTATCTTTTCATTTCATGCTCACAGCAAGTAGTAACCTGATAACTCTTATCAGGTTATTGTTGCTGTAAGCATTACATGAAAAAAATTGTTATCAAGTCCTTCACACACTGTCTGACAAATAGCAACAATAAATATTAACTCTTGCCTCTCCTCTCTTCCTCCATTCTTCTTTCCTCCTTTTCATAATGTGTTGGCGCCTAGAACAGTCTTTTAGGAGACCTATTCAACAGGTGGAGAAAAATGGTTTAATTCACACATATGATTGAAGCTTGTTTAATGTCGTTATCTTGTTTATACTATTAATATTTTTCATGTTCTGTAAAGCTTTGCTTAGCTGTATCAACATCAGCCCAACTCTATTTAAATTATCATCAAATCCAAATTATTGAAGTCCTAATTATTGAGGCTTTAAAGTAAATAATATCCAAATCTGTGTATAATTCCATTAGCAACTGTTTCTTCTATTGAGTTCATGCTTGTTCAAAAGGGAAAAATGCATGTTCCCATCTTTTAAAATGTTCCTAAAAACCTCAGAATGAACACTAACTCAAAGTTTGGGGTTGCACTTGTAAAGTTCCTTTAGTGATAAAACATTTTAAATTGCCTTTTAAAATTCTCCAAAATTCACATGTGTTCTAGGAGCAAACCTAGTGACTCTTTTTTCCAGTGTAGGATTCTCTCTGGATATACAATGTTCATCCTTGTAAGATGTACAAGTTTCTGAGTGTAACTCAATTTTTCTTGTGATTCAGTACACATATAGGTACGGGGTATGACAAGGAAATTGTAGAACTGAGAAAAACTTCACGAAGTTATTTACCTAGAGTAGTAATAGAGGTACTTCAACAGTGAATGGTTCTTTGCCATTGCATTTCATTGCCTCTCCTATTTTTCCAAATGTTTTCCTGAAACTATTTTAATTCCAGCATGTGAAACATGGCATAAAATTGTCAGCCTGATGTATATGTTTATTTTCTAAAGCAAAATGATGTAAATTAGTTGAGTTGGATGGCCTTCCCACACTTCCCATAAAAATGAGAATGATTCAGTCTCTTTAGTGCCTTTGTCTGCCTTTCCTACCCTGTAATTTTTTTCAATAGCTGCTCTCACTATTTAAAAGCCTGAGATCAGGCATATAGCTGGCATCTTCTGTGTCTCATCTTCAAGTAAAATCAGGGGAACGTGGATTTCACATATTGTCTTAGAGATGTTTCTAAAGAACGGGAGCTTTACAAATTGATGACTGTGTTTGTTGAAGAGGCTACAGGGCCCTGCCAGCTGCCATGGTTAAACACACAGTCAACAGTTGAGCAATACCCATGTGGAGGCCCAGTGGTGGGTTCAGGCTGGGCCTGGCAAATTCTCCACTTCGTGTCAGCTCCTACTTACTGATCATTGCTTTTCTTGTTTACCCCTTTGCTATTCATTTTTACTCTCCCCTATTTACCCTTCTCAGTAGAATTCAGAATATCACCCACACCTTTTCAGCAAGTCATTTCTATGTGTTTCTGGCTTTTCTGCTTATAGCAAAAAATCTAACATTTCTTTTGAAAAGCTTTACTATATCTTAGAGCATGGTTTCCCAGCCTTGGCACTGTTGACATTTTGGGCTGGATAACCCTTTGTTTTGGGGGCCATTCTGTGCATTGTAGGATGTTTCGCAGAATCTCTGGACTCCGACCCACTAGAGACTAGTAACACTCCTCTTCCCTTCAACTTGTGACAGCCAAAGATGTCTCCATACATAGCCAAATGTCCGTGTGGTGTGACCTCACCCCGGGTTGAAAACCACTCTTTTAAAAGAATGTTCTACTGTTGGGTTTCCAAGAATTCTAAATGAGTATTTAGATGTTATTTAGCCTTGAAATGTCAGGACACTTGTAACAGGTGTTTTTGAAATAATGATTTCTTGCCCAATGACTGCAAGTTGTGACATTTTCAGGTTTTAGTTTAGAAGTTTGAGGCAATTTTTTTTGTCCTGCTTTTAGATGTTTCCTAATTGGCTAGTCATCTGGAGGAGAATTGATTAGGTACAGGGAGGGTATGACCATGATTGATTTCTATGTCATTTCCTAAATTAAAGACAAATTAATAAGCTCACAAACAGTTGTCTAGAACCTCAATTCTCTTGTTCTGCTTTAGGCACACAGAAGGCTTCATTCCCTCTATTGGACTGTTTCTTAGTCTGGCAGCCGTGTGGACGCTATGGGGACCCAGTCCGAGGTGCCCTTCACAGCTCCCCCACGCCCCTTCCTGATCTTATCAGTCTGTTCTGCTCTTAATCCTTCAGGCTACTGAGCCACACATTTACCAAGAAGCTTCAGCAGACTTCCACGGACATTCCATTGTCCAAATTCCTGGTACATGGCCACCCTTGCGTATAAGAAGGGCATTTGGAAGAGTGAACAGACCGATTGTAGCTCTCCCAGACTGTCTAGTGTATTTGTTTCCTAGGATGGCCGTAACCAAGTACCACTAACTGGAGGGCCTTAAACAACAGATATCTGTGATCTCACAGTTCTGGAGGCTAGAAGTCCAAAAGCAAGGTGTCAGTTGGATTGGTTTCTCCTGAGGGCTGGCCTCGCTTCTGGTGGCCTCAGGCTACTGCATGGCTTATGGATGGCGTTCTCTCTGTGTCCTCACATCATTTTCCTCCTATTTGTGTGTCTCTCTGTGTCCCTTTCTATAAGGACACCAGTCATATGGGATTAGTGCCCACTCTAATGACCGTAGTTTAACTTGATTACCTCTGTAAAGACTGTATTTCCAAATAAGGTCACATTCTGAGGCACTGGGGGACTTCGATATATCTCTTTTTGAGGGACCTGATTGAACCCATAACAAAAGTTGACATGCACAGAAGTGGACTGAAGGTGACAAGAAGGAAGGAGAATCTGATGTCTGTTTGACCCGCTTCCTGATAGCTCATTTTATATGCCTCCTAAGTGAAAGTTATAACTTGAATAATCAGAAAAGAGTTGTTTATGTCCAAAAGGCACTGGTTCTTAAGTGACCCAAGTGGCTCTTTCTTCAGTTTAGAGCTCTTGTGTTTCCATTTGGTTTAATCTTAGTGCAAAAGTATCTCTCTGGTGAAATCAATAACCACTTGTCCTTGGGAAGTGAATTGATTCTTTTAGGGCATTATGACTTCACTTCCCCCAAATTAAGCTGCTTGTGTCTGAAGTGTAGTTGACTTCAGTGCCTTTTTTGTTTTTAAAAATTGAGGTATATATTCTTTATTCTTTCTCCCATTCCCTACCTTTCTAGTGTTGAAATCCCTGGCACATTTTGTCCTACAGAATATCAGGGATATGTGAACAGATGATACTAAGAAAAAAAGAAAAAAAAAAGAAGAAGAAATGCTTATTGGTTATTTAGACTTCCTGGTGTAAAAAACACAACACAACCTTTTTTGGTGGGAGACGTATGTTCATTCAGGCACTGGCATTTGATGTTCCCAAGAACTGAGTCAGATTGGAATATTAATTTATTCTAATTCATTTATGTAAATTCAGCTCGGAAAAAACTTGGTGGTATCATATGCACGGAGACCTAAATAAGCTTATGAGGCTTTTTTGTGATGCACAGCCTATGGGGAGGTTCTCAACTGTTTGACCATCTCTGGACACCAGAATCTTGGGAGGGCAGTTGGTAGAGTCTGCACAGTTCAGCCATCTACATACAGGTGGTTTTAAAAGTCATACTCTGCTGAGTCTTCAACTCTTGGGTCCACACAGGGTGAGGATGCAGGAGGGACCCTGTCATATTTGATTCAGCACATCTGTCCCTTACTTGTTCTTCTCAGAAAGACTTCCAGTTGAAAAACAGGCTCTGTGGGTTGGAAATAGTTTGAGAAACATGGCATAGGACAAGTCTCAAAGGGCTCCTTTAACTCTGTGGCAAAAGCATAGGACTGACTGACCCAACGTGTGGAGTAATAATGCTGATGATAAAAATGAATGCAGTGTGTGGCGCTTCAAATGGGTGTGAAATACTGTGGTACTCAACTTATCTAAATTAGCTCACTGAATTGTCATAGCAAAGTCTATGATTCCGAGAGGTTCATTACTTGCTTTGGTTCATAGGCTGGCAAGTAGTTGAGTGGGAATTTGAAACCAGGCCTGTCTGACGATGAAGTCCCTGTCCCATAGTTTGGTCTACCTCAGGATCGCTGCTTCTTTCTTTAGGGTCATTATCACTCCCTTAGTCTAGCTTTCTGCACTTGCCTGAGGTGTCCTCTTCAAATTGGAGTCTTCACTGATTGATTTCTATGGAAGCCTTTGCTTTGCCCTGGTAAGGGCTGCAGCATGCTGACTGGGGCTAAGTGGTCACACAGCTCTTCATCTCTTCAGCTGACGTTTTCCATGTCTCTTTTCTCTTTGAGTTCATTCTCTTTGCTCAGGCAACTGTGGGATAGAAGTGTTGAAGGATCTTCAGGTAGAAAGATTCATTTACTACTTGGAGTCAGACATGAAACCACATTCCTTCCTGCACAGAAACATGCCATACCTTGTATAATATAATATCATTAAACAGTCCCCCAGGAGGCAGTGTCCCTTTGGGGACATTGTTTGGTGGCCACTGTTTTGTAGGTTACTTTAAATGTTGTGCCAAGACAAGCATAGCTTTCTGTTGCATTAAGATCAGATCGCTTATTAATTAGTGAATGCTATGGGTAGGAAATAAAAAATGAGGGTTCTCAGAGCCTTATATTCTGTAATGAAATTCCAAATTTTTTTGGGAAATAGAATTCCTTAGATGTGGCACTAAGCAGTGTGCCATCAAATATCTGATTTCAAGCACCCACAGAAGTATAGAGTTAGTTGAAGTATAGGCCTGGGACTTGGCAAGCCCCAGAATCACAGGATTAGAGAGTTTAGAGATCAGCTAGCCTAACATTCCTGATTGTAGCTCTTCAATCCATCCCATAACTTCCTTAACAAATGGTTGGCCAACTTCTGGCCATCTCCAGCGACTAGGAATCTACTATCTGACATGGAAATATGCTTCACATATGAGGTAAAAGAAAAAACATAGAATGGCAAATATAATCTATATCTCAACTAAATTTAAAGTGTTTAAAAATAAATTATTTGAAGATATTAATAGTTTTTACCTCTTGGTGGTGCGATCATGGGGATTATTTTTTTGCTGGTTTATATATATATATATATATATTTTGTCCTTAACGAAGCTTTTACAATGGGCATGTATTACTTTGTAATTATGCAGACCAGGGAAAAACTCTTCCTTACACGGAAGTAGAATTCTCTCTCTGATTTATACCTGTTGGTCCTCAACTTAAGCTTTGAGAACAACTCAGAACAAATCCCATTATCCTTTCAACATATTGGAAGACAGCTTGAATGTCTTCTTGCCTTTAAGCATGGTTGTTTATAGATAGGCAAGCAGAAACTGTTTGTTTTTTTTTTAAACCGAGACCGCAAATCTGAAACCATCAAGATATTTCAATTTCTGTGAGAATGGTACTGAGCATTATGTAAATATCTACTACTTTTTTCCTTTTCTCTTCCAAAACAAACCACCTTTGATTGGTTGTGCTAACAAAACAAAATTTACCGCCTCAAACTTGGTGTGTTTATTGAATTCAACATTTTCTGCAAACCGGATTTGCTAGAATCCATTTGAGTCTTCTCAAAGTGTACCTGAGGTCTTTGGTAAACTTCTGTTCTCCATTTAAGGGAAGATCAGGACAAAGAGAGCAAGTCCGGGGAAGATGGAAACGTTGGGCAAATTAGGGGGCCGTGAGAGTGCCGGGGCCGTTAAGGGAGAAGCAGTGATCTGGTGTTACAGAAGAGGAGGTAGCCATCAGATTCTCCCACCTGCTTGTATGTTGCCATTGACACTATTTAGAGTCCCCACATTAAAAGAATTTTGATCTTTCAATGCTCAAACGATAGCATTACTACATAACTGTGCAGCCTAGAGGCAGTGCCACTGAAGTTCAGTGAAGGAATAACCAATACTCAATAGAAAACTGAAAGAAAGCTTGTAAAAATATCTTTATGCATTTGAATGCACTGACAACTTTTCAAGGTTACTTATGATTAACTCACTGTATGTATAGTCTTTTTATTTATTTTTTTTAAAGTTTACAGCAGAGGATAGTTTTATTAGAGCAGAAAGTAACAGCTCTCAAAACTAGAGGGGGTCCCCGCCTTAGGTGGGGAACTACTCCTTTTAAACTGTCTAGTTGCCTCAGAGCATAATTGATGTCTCTGTTCTAATAGGATCATGGTATCTCAAGACTGGGGCTTTGAAGATATTGTTTTCTGCTCATTCTATCAGGGAGTTCCTGACTGTCTTATGTTAACTAACCTGTCTTAATCCCCCACTCTGGAGGGAAAACTTCTGACTTCTTTGTTATAAGCTTCCAGAAAAAAACCCATCTCCTCCTCCCACTCCCAAGTTTGTCATTCTGGCGGGGTCCTGTGACTTAAACCTATCAGTCAACTATTAAGATTATTCCTCCTGGCTCTGTTATGGTTTCTGCCATGATTCCCTCTATTGTGGCAATTTCCCTGATTACCTATAATTTTCCTATCTCAATCCCCCCTTTGATGAGGTAACCCTAACTGCTGTTAGGGAAAGGGGCGAAGACCGCTCTGACTGCTTTCTGCTGAGGAGGGATGAAGTATGAACCCATAGTTAGGGCTAGTCCAGAGGGGGCTTAACAGCCCATGGTAGATGAGCGAATCCAGGTGAGGTTGTTGTGGTCCTGTAGGCCATCCCATCACGTAAGCAGAGATGAATTTGAGGCAGCAGTGTGAGGCAATCCCTTAAGATGTCTTGAGGCTGACATAGAGCGTTGAGGAGGCCTCACAGGGAAGCGGCCCGAACTAGCATCTCTTTTTCATCCCGGGCGAGCCCCCAATAAATGATGTAGGATATTTCTTGTGTCAGGATCGTAGTCTCGTGAAGCCAAAGAATGGAGATGTGGACCAGAGAGGTAAAGTTTACAGCAGAGAATAGTTTTGTTAGAGCAGAAAGTAACAGCTCTCAAAACGACAGGGGGTCCCAACTTGGGTGCCCGTGTATGTATAGCCTTTAATCCACTATATGTGGTGGCAGAGTTTCTCTGGAGAATGACACTTTTATGGGTTTGAAAAGTACTTTCTGTCTGAACTCTTTTTCCAATGAAAGCTTTGAAACTCCTAAATTAATGGCAGTCTTAGGGGTAAGTAAATATGATCCATAAATATTTATCGAGTAACTTCTTTGAGGAATTATATAAACATTAAAAATACCAATCAAAAATATTTTATTAGATAAGGAATGCAGATTTATTTCAACCAGAGGCAAATACACCCATCAATTATCTGTTTGTAATTTAATTTTTACAAAGAATCTGGAAGTTGGTGTTAAAAATAATGTGTTGTTTGCGCTGAGCACTGGATTTTAACACTTTGTTGCACCTACAACAGGACTTATTCCTGTTCTGTCTCTTTGTTTCCAGATGGTCTCTCAGCTTGAAGCCCAAATATCTGAGCTTGTTGAAAGGTGGGAAAATGAGTCTGGGTTTCACCAGAAAGCTCTACAGAGAGCCCAGAAAGCAGAGGACAAGATGGCGACTCTTCAGGGTCAGCTGAAACACCTGGAAGGAGAGCTGGTTTCCGGAGATGTTTTGCGAGACAACTTGAATTTTGAGAAACAAAAAGTAATAACCTGAGCACATGTCCATGGGTGGAACTACCTGTTGCAGTATAAAATGTTACCCGAAAATATTCCGAGTTTAGCTGTCCTTTGATAGATTGGTTATCTGAGTCATGAGTGAATTTCAAGGAACACTGGATATTGTTTTGGAGCTTTCTTGATTCAAATAAATATAATAATTCAACTGAATCTAATTAAACTCAACAGGTATTTGTTGAACCCCTGTTATGTATGAAACCCTGAGGGTTTGGAAGGAAAGGTATGAATAACAGTTCTTGATCTTAAATGGCTCATAATTCAATAGAGGAGACAGGTATTCCATCAGTTTGCTGTAATATAAGTGTTACAATAAATGTATTGATTTATGAAGCACTATAGGAGCCCAGTGAAAGGAGTGATAACTTCTATATAGGAGGGTTTTGCAGGGAGAAGATAATTAAGTTTGTCTTTGAAGTGTCAGTAGGATTTTAGTGGAGAGAAGGGCCACGTACTGCAGGGGAAACAGTTTGAAAGCTTGCAAGTGCATGGTATAGTCAGAGATCGCAGAGCAGTTGTTCCCGTGTGGCTGGAACATGGTGTTCTTGGTGGAGCTATGGCAGGAGAGAGGACAGGAAGGACCTGGATTACGAAGACTGAGTATTCTTGTTCTGTAGAATATGAAGCATCATCAGGGACTTTGAACATCACAGTATATTAGGAAGTAATATGATGTCTCAGTGGAGCCGAGATTGCAGTGGTGACAACGCAGTGAGAGAGAAGGACAGTAGACTGAGAAGAGAAGGGGTCCACACTTATGATTTGACCATGGGACGGTCATCTGTGATTCCCGAGACGCAATTTTAGCAGCATGGTGGGGAACAGAAGCCATTTTGCATTGGGCTGAGGGGTGACTGGGCAGGGAAGGGATAGAAACTTAGAAGTCTGGTGACCAAAGAGCAAGGAGGCGGGGAGCAGAAGCTGTGAAAAACAGGATCAAAGATGATAGGTTTTACTGGACATAATGGGCTGGTCTGTGTCTGTGGGTCACAGGAGTCCCTAGAGGGGAAAGAACGAGAGACGCATGGGATCAAGAGCATAGGCGCAGAGTTTGGCACGGAAAATACTCTTAGGTTGAAAAATCCGTTCTCTGGAAACTCATTCTCCTATACTTAAAAGAAATCGAGGCAGCATCATACCTGCGTGGAGGGTTGGTATGCAGAGATACATAAAAGGTGTCTGTGGGAAATCTAGTTTAGAGGATGAGACAGTTTAGTTTAGAACTCTAGTTTAGAGGATGAAATCAGGACCAATTAGTACAATTAGCGCTCTTGTGAAAATAGGCGTAAAATTTGACAGGAACTCGGAGTACCTGCTTCTGTCCTAGCTGTGTTTGAGGAAATAAGCTGTTTTCACGGACGAGGTAGCATCTGGGAGGGGCTTTAAAGAACGGGTAGGAATTTGTCAGGCAGGAGAGGTGGGAAAGGAATTTGAAGCAGGGGGAGCTGCAGGAGGAGTGAAGGAATGGATGTGTGACAGGACTGCTTAAGAGCAAGACACAGCGGGACTGGAACATGGCACTTGGTGAGGTCAGAGGCAGGAGGGGCTCGGCAGGCAGGCAGGCGTAATCGAAGTAGGTCAGGCTAACTGTTCAAGGCTTTATCCTATAGGTAAGGGGAAGCCATAGAAGGGTTTTGAGGAAAAGAGAGGTTTCTCTGAAGGCAAAATGGCTCTGAAGGTAGGGAGCCCAGCTGGGGATTCTAAGAATAGTCCAGATCAGAAGATAATATGGGTCTGGACCAAGTAGTGGTTTTCTGAATGAAGGGATGGATTTGAGAAATTTGGGAGGGTGAAGGGGATTTTTCTATTAGATACCTGACACAGGTGTGCTGGTTGAAATTTTGAGTTTGAAAGGAAATATTGCGCCTGAGTATAATATCTCAAATTGGAAGATCTGACTGCTGGACAGCTCTGCCTAGATGTTCCAGGAACACCTGCCCTAGACATACTCAAAATAGAAATGATTATGTCCCTTTAAATTTTCTCTTCTCCTGCCTCACAGATGACAAGGTAATCTGCCTCCAGTTTTCAAAACCTGGAGACTCAACCCCAGTGCTTTCCTCTTTTTAGTCAGTTCTTAAGCACGGTAAATTCCATCTTATTAATTCCATAATACTCTCCTCCCATCTCTGTATTTGGTAGCAGTGCTTTGATTCAGAGCATTATGGTGTTTTCCATGGACGACTGAAAACAACCTTCTAAGCGGCCTTTACACTGCTGCCAGGGAGGTCTTCATACTACACATGTCTAATCTGAGCGTTCTCCATCTCCCACCTGGTCAGGGCTCTCTGTGGCCTTCAGCATCAGCTATAGATTCCTTCTTCCAAGGAAGACCTATGACCTGGCCAGCTTTCCTCTCCGGGTTTCCCCTTAACCTGCAATATGCCTAGCCAATGGTGACAAACTCAGAGGCCTCCCAGGACCAGCAGGGCCCAGGGAGGGAGTGTGGTGAGGGGTCACTGAGTCCACAGACATGCACGTTCAAATTTAAAACAGAGTTGCTTGGCCAAAGCAAAGAGGGCCCCCTTGGCTGCCCATGTTGTCCATTGCCATTTTCTCTGAGCCAATGTTCTCCTAACCTTCTTCACCTGGAAATAACTGCCCCTTTAAGACTCAGCTCCAGTGTCACTTTTTCGGGCAGTCTTCCCTAGAGACTTTGCTCCCCTTCATGCCACAGAGACCTGCACCTGTCACAACACGTGTCACCTTTATTGTATTCATTTTTTAATTCATCTTCTGCAATCAAGTCCAAGATTCTTGAGGCCAGGGAAATTTTTTTTTTCTGGGTTTCTCCAGGGTTTAGAGAAGAGCCAATAAATATTATTTACATTATAGAAGAAACATATCAAAGGCAAGAAATTTAGGTAGATTGGTATCTCTTCCTTCATTATAATGACTCATGAATTTTAGTTGTGATTGTGCCAAAAAAATGCTCAATTATGAAAGCAAATTATGTAAGCTGATTCTGTCCATGGTGAATTTTCCATAGATAACTGCTTATGAAATGCATGTTCTAGTAAAGAGAGCCAACATGTAAAACTGAAAAACAAAGTTTAAGTTTAAATATAGGTCATTGAGATTTACACAAATAGAATAGGATATAGTCATGCTAAACTGTGACTCAAATGAACAAAAATACAGTAATCCTTCCAGCAACCCTAACTTTCTGATGTGTCGCCAAGATTCTTGGACTAAGCACATTGTCAGTGGGGTATTGACTTGGGGCTGTTTTAATTTCTTTTTGCTTGCTGGGGATTCTTGCATGCTGAGTGGCTGGGTCACATGTGAAATAGTAAAAGAGGCTTTCGTATCTTCACAGGAAGGATACCGACTCCATTTGATTTAAAATGCAAACAATAGCAGTCATTTCACTTTCATTCACACAGGCTAGCAATGAAAAATTCCCAGGGGAGAGCTGATATGGCATTAAGAAGTGACAAACTGATGAGGCAGAGATGACAGCAACCTGTGGCCTTGCCACACAATATCATAAGCGACACTTGTAATGACTGTGACTTATAAAGAAGAGATTCAACTTTATATATCTTTATAGAAAAATTGCAAAATATACACTTATAAATAATTTCATCCTGGTCATTAAAATATAGTTAGTTCTGGGTTTTCAGATGGCATGTGTCAGTCATCAGGAAATTATACTTAAGCAAACATGTAAGCACCTGAAAACCCCAGATGAATTCTTACAATGACAAGAAAATCTCAAAGATAGAACCCAAATCATGGAATAACAGCTCATTGATTGGTTTACTCAACAAACAAGCACGTAGTAAGCATTACTCCATGTCTGCCATGGCCAAAAAGCCACAGAAATCAAGTGGAGGAAGATCCCAGAACAGCTTTGTAACTTTAAAATATGGACCTGGACTTCTCTGATATGGCTCTATGTTAGAATGTTGTTCCCTTTAACTATGACACGTTAAAAACTCTTAAAGACATTTTCTAAAGCATAATAATAATAATAATAATAAAAATGTTGTCCAAGTTTGTTTGTATGGAGAGCTTTGATTTTGCAGTGATCTGTAGAACCCCAGAAGAGTAATGTGGCAACTGGTTAAGTCCTATTTTCCTCCCTTGAGGCCAGAGCCCACTTGGGGGCAGGGGGGGGGAAGTTGCCATGGAAGGTGTGGATGAGTGGATCCAAGGGCTGTCTTAGCCTGTAGCTAAGCAGAGAGATGGAGGTGTAGACAGGAACGTGCCAAATTTGTCACATGGCGGGGTTAATGAAGAGTGTACAATATTAAATTGAACATCAGGGTTACCAACCAGGAGAGTCAAGAGAATTGGGATAAGGAGCAGGACATGGAGGTGGCAGGTGGCTCAGGAATTCATCAGTAGACTTTGGAGTCAGGGGAAGGGCTCACACTGGGTTTACGAGAACTACCGGTAAACTTGGGCGGTCACCTGTTAACTTTATTTTTGTGTCCCATTTTCACTTTTGTTCTTGGGTTTAGTATCTTAAATTTCTGGATCAGCTCTCAGAGAAAATGAAATTGGACCAGATGGCTGCTGAACTTGGCTTCGACATGCGTCTGGATGTAGTTTTAGCTCGCACGGAGCAGCTGGTCCGCCTCGAGAGCAGTGCAGTCATTGAAAACAAGACTATCGCCCACAATTTACAGAGAAAGGTAGGGGAGATTGAAACTTGCTCATGTTGAGAGAAGGCGTTCCTGAGAAACTTCAATATTGAAATATAATCTACCCTCACCATTTTTAGCAATGTGACTAGGAAACATAAAAATATGTATTTAGAATCTATTTCAACCAGGTTCATTTCAGTTCATTAATTTACCATTCCTAGGGTGGCCCATATCCTTGTGGTTCAAAATGGTGCCTGGAATCATTATATCTGTGTTCCAGGAAGAAGACTGTAGAAGTAAAAGGGATGAAGAAGAGGGATGTAAAAGAGCAGGCGTGAGCTGCCTTTTAAAGGAGGGTTCCCAGAACTTGCTATGTGAACTTGTGTTTATATCCCATGGCCAGAATATGTTCTGATGGCTAAACCTAGCTGCAAGGGAGGCTGGAAACTGTAGTCTTTACTCTGGCTAGTCATTTACCTAGCTAGAAAAATGTTCTGTTTCTATTACTATAGGAGAGGAGGAGAATTGGGGAACATCTATCAGTCTCTGCCTTTATAAACTCCACTGCACTAGAAAGTAGAGAGAGGAGTATAGCTTTTCAGTCACTCAAAGGAAGAGTTAGAAACTGTTTAGACTGACTGAATGAATGGGCGAAAAGGATACAAATATAATTATTAGTTATATAATTATTGGTATTGGGGAAAGAAAAAGGGAAATACAGATGTGTCCTAATAATAGTTCTTAGAAAATTCTATGGTAGAATTATAGTGTGCAGGCTATGTAATGAGTCACATTTGCGTTTTTTTTTTTTTTTAAAGATTTTATTGGGGAATTGGGGAAGGGGAACAGCACTGGGGAATTGGGGGAAGGGGAACAGACAAGTTGCTGTTGGTTTCTTCTTCAGTCTAGTTGTGGAGGATGTTGCTTCGCTGGCCCAAGCTGGCACCATCATTGCATTCTTCCTGGGCGAGGCAGATCAGTCGCTGTCCTCAGGACGGCTACTCACGGTGGCTGCTGGCCGCTCACGCTGGCTGCTGGCTACACATGGTAGCTTATGGCAGCCCACTGCAGCAGGGGGCTGCAGCCTAGGCCGTCGCCGGCGACTCAGGCAGGCCAGCTTCAGGTTGAGCTGTTGTTCAGCATCTTAGCTGTAGAGGGCAGTGTCACTGGCCCTCATATGTGGGATCCGAACTGGGGCCCTCTGGCGTCCCAAGCCAGCTCTTAACCAACGCGCCACTCGGCCGGCCCACATTTGCGTTCTTAATTTGGTCCACGAGGCTGTGTAACCTTGGGCAAATAGCATATCTCTCTATCTCCTCATATTTAAGATGAGGATAATACCTACTTCATGAGGTTGTAAATTTTTAATAAATAATATTTTGAACTCTTGGCTCATAGAAGATGCTCTATTCACATTCAAACTCCTCTTGATTTACTTCATCTTTGGGAGAATTTTATAAAAGAAAGCAGACAAACCCTGTCACCATCAGATACATGAAACTGAGCTACAATTCTTTGTGAAGTCCTCAGATAATTGAATTTTTTCTCAATACCTCACACCAGTTCTTAAGTATTGTGTAATTATTAAAATTACTGGTGTACAGAACTTAACCAGTGTACATTTGCAGAAGAGTGGAATTTGACATGACGAAGTTCGTGGAAGGGAGTTTAGTTAGAGAAATATTAAAAGGGCCTTGTTAAAATGGGTCTGGACATTGCTGTCACTGTTAGGCAAGGTACTCATTCAAGCCCACGTTTCAGTAAGTCCTTCACACCTCTGAACACTTTAGAAATGCAGAGTCTGTAATTAGGGAAAATGTGATAGTCTTTCGGCTCTAACATTCTATAATCCTACATGATTCTGATACCCAACGTTTACAACAGACGAAACAGTTTTCTGTGCTTAATATTCCACTCACTAATTGTGACATGTGAAGGCCAGGAGGATGTTTCCCCCCTCTTAGAGTCTACAGTCTTTTCTAAAAATCACTATAATTTCCTTCATCAAGTTTAATTGTCAGTGATAAGTGCTATTTGAAGACCTTGTTCGCTGCTTGGTTTGTGGATGGTACAGGCCTGGCATCTAATAAAGACACCAATGAACTAAAACTTTTTTCAGTTCTCTTCTAGTTCTAAGATTTTACTGTATAAACAAAGCTTTCTTTAAAATCTCCTTAGTATAGCTTACTTAAAAAATATATCAGCTCTCATGTTTGGTGCCACTCAGTCTAAGGGACTAAAATTAATGAGTCCAGGTTTTTGGTACTAATTTAAACTCTATCTTCTTTCAGAGAAGACCAGGGCAAGTATAGTTACCATTGGGGTGTTGGAGAGGATTTTTTCTCTCTGTCTTGTTATTTTCTGCTCTTGATAATCCCAGTTTAGTCATTTTAAAGGCTATTGCACATTTTTATCATGATAATAATAGAATTTATATCTTACTACTTTATTATTACATAGTGTTGGAGGGAATCATGTCGCAAGCCTACATCTCTGTGCATTTTCTGTGGCTCTTTTGTCTCAGACTTTGCAGCTCAAAATTAATTCTTGGAAAAAATAGTAATAAAAAAAATACAATAAAGAAAAGGAATCCAATAACTTTTTTTTTTTGATGGTTTAGACTTAGTCTTACTAAAGTGTGAGTACAGGTCAATATTCTCTGAGTAATCCATTTATATTTACAATTAGTATTAAAAGAACCCAAAAACCATTTGTGTCAAACCAGCTCAAGACTCAGAAAGCAAGCCTGGAGAGCAAGGAGCTGCACATGAGCCTCCTGCGGCGGAAGATAGCGCAGCTGGAGGAGGAGAAGCATGTGAGGACGGCCTTGGCTGTGGAGCGGGACGAGGCCCAGCTCACCACACGGAAACTACAGAAGCAGGTGGAGAGGCTGCAGAAGGAGCTGAGCGTGTGTCAAGAATCCAACACTGAGCTCAAGGCCAAACTGGCTGACACCAGTGAGCTTAAGGCAAGCGCTCAGCTTCCTGTCCTTGTTTGTTGCTTTTTTGTTGGCTAATGTAAAAGTTTATGCAAAAGAGTGACAGCCTTATCACAGAGACACCAGGAAAAAAAAAGATGAAAAACTTCCTCTGGTTTTCTAGAGTTGTGGGAAAAATGCCAAAAAGCACACAAATCAGCATATTAGAGCCACTGAGTGTCTATTCAGTGTTTGAAATGAAGCTATGTGAAACATCAGTCAAAAAGGGGGTGTTCAGTAACGAAAAGAAAAGCACTTCTGGAAAGTGTGGGTGACTGTGATAGTAGGGATCATGTTGGGATTGATCACGTGGGAATTCGCTTTGGAAGAAATGAGACATGAACCCGCTGTTCACTGGGGAGCGTCAGGCAGGCCCTGGTGTTGAGTGTCGTACCCTACGAGCTGCATTGTCCCTGGTGAGGCGGGTGGACAGATCGGGGAGATGTGCTTCCGGGGTCGGAGGGGTTCAACTTCCAGGGAATACAGAGAAGAAAGGAATTAAAGTTTAGTCAGAGCATCTAAATGCCAGTGGTATGTGCACTACTGGCAGTAATATGTAACTTCACATGCACACATCCTCTCTGGCACGTTTGCATGTCACGAGTACAGATGACAGTAACATCCTGGCTCTTTGCAGACAAGTGCTCCGAAATGGACTTCCGGAGTGTTTCCAGTCTGGAAACAAACCAGTAGGGAAAACGAATCTGGAATTAAGCCAGCCTATGAATATGCATAGTGGGGACAATATTTGAGAAGATATTTTCCACTGTATTTTCCCTCCTAAGTCATTAGTTCTTTTCCTCTGAAGCCCTTCTAAGTTTAGGCTATTTCTCTGGAGAAGGGGAAGGCAGACATGGCCTAGGGGAGGCGACATATTGGAACACAAGAGAAAGCGTCTGAAGGGTACCATGTGTGGGGCGGGGGTATCAAGGTAAGTATCCTCAATGGGCCCCCACTTCACACCTGAACTTTGGGGAGTGTGTGTGCTGAGGTACAATTACTGTTCAGCATGCAGCTGCCCCCACCCTGGCTGAAAGGACCCACAGAAGGCGCTGAGGCAGGGGTCCTAGGTTGCACCCTGATTCCCTAGGGCCTGATATTCATTTGCACTCGAGGGAGATATGGAAGATAGCGAAAGTTGCATGCTGGAGAGCTCATGGGAGCAGGTGGGCTGGGACAAAGTGACCCTGCATCAGAGGCTTTGGGGCAGGTCACCTAAACTATCATCCAGTGGCAGTTACAGCCAAGCCTTGGATTAATAAAGGCCAGTAGCCAGGCCTTGACTTTGATCAGTGAACCCTCACAGATTTCACCAGTCAGATATCAGATACAGGAAAGATTCAGCATCAGTGGGAAGACCAGAGTCACTTCTAACACCATAAGGATTTTCCTTCACCCAGACACCACCTCAGGAAGAAGGGAGGCAGAGAAGAACCCTTGAAAGATTGAGCAATACATTAATGACAACAAATTTTAAACCAGAGGAAATGCAGTTAGTTACACGCTACCAATCTGCTCTCACAGCCTGGGATGATGGGGGTGGGAGATGGTTTCTTATTTCTAAAAGACACACGTCTCATCCGAAAGCCAACGTGCTGGGATCTTGCATTAGCTGTTGCTGATCTGTAGGATGGGAGGCTAGCTCATCTCCAGGCTGGATGCTCACATTCCATGCTGTGGGGCCACAGGAGCACTGCTTTGTTAGAGAGAACAGTGGGCCACTAAAGAACTTTTAAAGGAGCCAGAGAAAAAATTAAAGAAATGGGAAAACAGTGGTAAGACAGTTAATAGTGGGGAAAATCCTAGAACCAAGTGTAATGTAGACCTTTGAAAATGAATCAGGTTGGTTTTGTAACTCATCAAATTTTCCTCTTCTCTTTATTATTTCCTTTTATCTGCTTCATTTTAGTTCATTTTATTGTTTCTTTTCTATCTTCCTGAGATGTGCATCAGCTCATTAATTTTTAGTTTTCCTCCTTTTCTAATACATGTATTTATGGCTGTGAATTTTCCTCTAAGTATTGTTTTAGCTGCATTCCCCAAATTTTGATATGTAATAGGTTGGTTGTCATTTAATTTAAAACATTTTCTAGTCTTCATTGTGATTTTTTTCTTTGATACATAGATTATTTAGAAGTACATTTCTGAATTTCCAAATATTTGGACATTTTGTAATTATCTTTGTTGAAGTAATATGAGATTTAGCATTATGTTATCTTCTTCCAGAGAGGACTTTTATTTTCTTCTTCCAGAGTCCAGGTGGCATTTTAACCTCAATAGCTCAGGACCATCTTAATCCAAATTTAAGCCTTGAGATATTTTGAGTGCAGTCTGTTGACATGAATTAAAGTTACACACTAGGTAAGTGAGAGTTTTCCTCATTTTTCTTACTCTTAACATGCAGCCTCTCAGGGACCCAGTCCAAAGTAGGATTGACTTTGGTTCCACCAGAGGCAGGAACCAGGCTCTGCCTCTGGTGCCCCATCTCTGAAAGGCTGACAAAATGCCCCCAAGCACCCCAGCATCCCCTTCCAGGTGAGCAAATGCTCCCACAGAACAGAGGACCCCAGACTTTGTACATTTCCAAGTTTGTAGCCTCTCCCAGATGTGGGCCCAGTAGTTTTGAGCATCTTCTCAGATCTTTGAATTTTAAGGAGATTTTTTTCTTCTTCCCTGCTTAAATTGTACTCAGTGGGAGAGTTAGTCTGAACTACCTGGTCTCCCTTTTCCAAGAAAGAAGACATTGTAAGGATTGCTTTGATGGGGAAATAGAAACATATCCAGATAGATACGTTGGAAACTCTACTCCATAGATAATAAAGAAGTGACAGAGGAAGATGGTGTTGATTCAGTCTTAGGGGAGCATTACTGGGATGTTGGCTACCTCAGTTTCCCTTCTCAGTAGTCTCTCAATTTTCCTGAGTATCCACGTATATTCTGCTTTGCAGGCCACAGATTATGGAACAAGTATTTCTCTAGTCCGCCAGGTACATATCTGAAGTAAACATTTACTCTTTGATAAAGCTTCTCTTAAATCCCTTAAAATCCCTCCACTTGTGCTCACTGGGATGGGGAAGAAAGGGATGCCATATTCCAGCGTTGCCAATGAGGCTGGCATTCCAGCCATCAATTGACTGCAATGCCCTTGGATTAGCCCAGAAGCACTGCCTGAAAAACTTCACCTCCACTTTTTGCTATACCTCTACTCTTGGGCCTGGAAAGACTCTGTTCTACTCATTGGCTTCCTGGTGTTTGAAGAAAGATGTTGAATAATTAGGTAACAATGTAGAATAGGAATGACAAATAAAGTGAACTTGGACTTTCAAGACAGAGAAGTAAATTCAGTCTTCTAAGGGTCACAAAGAAAAGGACGTGTTTTGTTGTAAGAATGTGCAAATAGAACAGTCTAACTTCTCCAGAGAACTCTCTGGTAGAAAGGAAGGGTCAGTAGCACTGGGTTTCCATCCACTGAGCTGTGTGAGGCTCCACAAAGCAGAGGGGAACAGAATGATATTGAACAACCTGGATGACTCCTAAGGTAATGAAGTGGGAGGGACACTGAGAAGGCCTAAGGCAGACTGGCTTCCCGGAAGAAAGACCTGAATGAGGTTTTCCTAGTAAGACCACCAGTGCGTGTCAGAAACAAGATGCAGTAGTGATGCAAGATGCAGGATGAGCTGCCTGCCTTCTTATCCCCGCTTTGGCTGGGGACATTTGGCCTTTCTCATGGGATGGGGCTGTTTCTGTCCCCAGGAGAAATGAAGAAGCTTCACTTAGAAAGTCAGGGTTTACCCAACATTGTGGTTTATTTTACTGCTAACTCAGTTGTAAATCTGCGTGACTTCCATGACTGAGCCTCCATTCTCCATAACTGGGTTTCTGCTCTGTTCTTTCTACTATCCCCATCCCTTCAGAGACCCTTGCTTCCAGGGGTCTGCTTTGCTCTTGCCAGTTTCTCTCCAAGGAGCTGAAATTCTGTCTCTGAGTGAAGCTGTCTGGGCCCTATGAAGGGCTGTCAGGACTCTGTGACATTGACTTGCAGATGCCAGCCAGCTGTCTGCATGTTTCCAGATATTATAAAGCTAAAATATAATAATATAGTGAACAGATATCCTGTGAAGCATGATATAAATATGAGCTGCCATTATTACTGATCTTGTCACTGCTAAGAGTGGAAGCTCTAATGTGGGGCTGGTGGAACCTTTGGAATTTCAACTCAGGAAGAGTGGCCAGCAGCAATGGAGCATGGCAGACCAAACTCTACCAGCCGAGGTGATAATGATGGAGCAAGGGGTTCCCAATCTGACATCCAGGAACGGTGTCCGGCACCTGCTGGATGAGAGCGAATACACAGCAGCTTTAGAAGTGAACAGCCCCTGGTCGAGGGCAGTATGAGTGCCATCTGCAGGGGGCTCTAAGGCAGGGTCTTCCAGGCTAAGTGTACTGAGAGTAGAGGGAGAACCCCCAGGTCAAAACATCCCTGTGGGCTAGAAACGGTGGTGGGCCAAGAGGAGTTGACACTTCCTGCCGTGTAGAGCAGAAGTAGAAAACAGCTAGTGGAAATTGGGTCGTGCGGCGATTGAATATGTTCCCATTTGGTCCGGGCGACTTCTGCCAGAGGCCTGCGTCCTTGTTCACCTGGATTACTGTTAATTATTCACAAGTGGTCTTTCCATTTAACCTTCTCACAGGAAAGCCTGATTCTTATAATTAAGTTTGGCTCTTATAATTAAGTGATTACACAACATGTGGTTCTAGTAAGAGCACCTGGTTTAAGAATTTCCAGCTCCAGCATCAGCAGTGTAAAGCAACATTTTCAGGTGTGTGGCATGTACCTTGGGTGGCATATGCGAGCAGAATGTTTCTAGGTGCTAACTGACAGGCATTATCTAATGTCCAATTCTGGAGTGAAAATGGATTCCCTTAAACTTTTCCTTTACTTCCTTCACTATCAAGGAGAAAATCTTGATTTGAGTTTATTATGCCCTCATAGTATCAGGACACTTGCTAGTCTGCTTTTTAAACAAAGAATAAGCCTGAATTTTGGTGCTGAGTATGAGACATAGTACCTAGTAACGCTGGTTTGCTTTCATTATACGGTGTTTGCTTTATTGTTACCTCCTACTTGTGACAAGTTCTATTGAAATCATATAAAATTCCCTGTAAAAGAAATAAATTTATTTAAGTTAAAAGGTGGCTGAGTAAAAATATTAATATAGATGTAATAATGTTTGACCAAATATCTAACCACTGTAGCCTAGTCAAGTTGACACATAAAATTAACCATCACAGTTCCTTTTTATTGCTGAATAATAATATTTCATTGTGTGGCTAGATCACATTTTGTTTATCCATTTAGTGTCTGATGGATATTTGGATTATTTACACTTATTGGTTATCATGAATAAGGCTATTGTGAACATTTGTGTGCAAGTTTTTGAATGCATTGATATGTCTGTTGCAAAACCGTGTTGAAGACCTTGACTCCTAGGCTATCTAAATCTCCCTCTTCAAGACCCATCAAGTATATTTCCCCTTGAATTCTAGACCAGGAAAAAGTAGACCTTTCCTGATGAATTTAAAATTAAATTTTAGGTTGGCAAGTAAGCAAAAGTATTGTAGAAATCCCCTTTTGAAAGAAAGGTGTTCTTTCATAGATTTCTCCTTCCTGTGCTGTTGAGTCAAAATAATTTTATTATAATATTACCTACATATGTACAAATGTGACACTAAATAGAAATTTCTTAATCTTATTACATTTTTATTCTTATAAAATCCAAACCAATTTAGAAACCAATGTGAAGTATAAAAATAGAATTTTATAAATTGGCAATATTAATTCAATCAGCTAGATTATGTTATTTTACTGAAATCACCATTAATAAGAATGTGTTGTGCCAATTGCTTATGGTCCAGGTTCTTCTGAGCCTGGCATGGCTACAGTTTATGTTGCCGAAGGGCAGAGCACTTACTTAATTTTATTCCTGCAGAAACTGTACGTACATACACCACGAACATAGTTTGACCGTGGCTTGGCATTACTTATGTATTAACTCTATCTTTGCTCTTTTCTCATTAACCTAGGAAATTAAAGTAGAACTCCTAATAGGCATAGATGTAGCACGCATAAGTGCAAATGCAGGCTCTGAAATCATCTGGCAGAATTCCAGAGGATCTGGAAAATACTTTGTGTAACTCCCATCATGCCAGTTGCTTCCTAGCCTACATTGGTTATGATTAATCTCATTTGAATATATTGAAACACCCCCATAATCGCAGTTGCGTAGAAAGGATAGATGTTTATTCCTTTCTCACTGAAAAGAAGTGTGGAAGTAGACATTCCATGCTTAGTAGGATGGCTCCTTGGTCACCAGCAACCCTGGCTTGCTCTATTTTTCTGCATCACCATCCTAGCAATAGCTTCCATCCACAACACCAGCTCTTAGTGCAAGCTGGCTGCTGGGACTCTAGCCTCATCCCAGTCACCAGGAAGGGTTTTGGTAAATTGGAATCTCTGAATGATCACCAAGGTCAGTCCCTGTGCATATGCACCTAGTGGGTGGCATTTCCTCAAGTGCTTGCTCTACTGGTGACATGTCATTGGCTAAAAAGCTGCCTCAGAGCCCCTTCCTCCAGCTGTTGTTGGCATTTTATTTCCTGCCTATTTCCCAAGCTGCTACAGTGGTCCTTACACTTTCTTGGTAGCAAGCCCCACAGTCCTGTCAGTTTCCTAAGGAATTTCCTCTCTCCTGCATGGAACCTGTTCAAAAGTTTTGAACTTGTCTAAGCATGTTTGCCATTGACTCCTCTCTGCCTGGAAAGAAATTCAATTTCTTAAGAAGTTGTGTGTGTGATAGTAGATACAAACGAATTTCCAGCTCAGGCATTTCATTCAGGTATTGACTCAGGCTTCCTCATTGAGTGAAGTCACACAAGGCATGGGGACATCCATATCCCAAGCAGCCACTTCTGCTCCATGTCACATAATCCCAACCGTAGAAGAGTTTCCACCATTCCTCTGACTGTCTAGTGGTATTGGAGGAAACTTCAGAGTTTAGACCCAATCAACTTGTGCTCCTTGCACCATAGTTCTTATACAGTCAGTAAAGACCTGCTGTAAATCTGAGATTAGATAAAGATTTACATCTCTGACAGTAGCTTCTAAATAGAGTCCATGCAAGTCACAACCATCGAGAATCCTTCATCAATAAATAAGCAGCAGTCCTGCAACTAAATGACAATTGTTAGCTTTATTATTGTTACTCAAAAAAAAAAAAGAAATACAAAGAGGGATTTCATTCATCAGGAGCAACAATATTGCTAAGCATTTTCTCATTTCTCTTTCTCTCTTATTTCCTGGCTACATGACATCTATACCGCCCCACAATTCCCTCATCTGCCATCCCAAATTTCTTCAAAGGGCGGTCGGTTCCTGCAGCCTGGTTAATATGGATTGTCTCATCTTTGTCCCCACTTGTCTCTCAGCTCTTTATCGTGTAGATCAATTTAGTCCTTCAGGTTTTCTTCTTCCCTGACACACCTCCCCTTTACCCAGATTCTGCTATAGGAAAAATGGGGTGGGAGTATATGCAGCAGGAAAACATCCTTCCTTCTTAAGAAGAAGGGACGGGATGGAAGGGAGAATGCAGCTAACACTTATTAGATGGTTTCTTTGATTGCTTTCATACAGAATTTAAGAATGATTTTCAACAAAATTAAAACAAAACTATGGTTCATTTCTTTGAGAATATGCCTGTAGGCTTATCTGAATTATTAGAAAGCTCAGAACTAAATTCAGAGCTCTACAGGTCTTTATTTGCTCCTTGTTTCAAAGTAATTTATTTTGATGGTTTTAAAAAGCTTCTTTGTAAGTGAATTTTCTACTAACAGCTTTATCAAGATACAACTCACATACCATAAAACTCACCCTTCTAACATACGTATCAGTGGTTTTTCAGTATCTTTGCAGAGCTGTATAAACATCACCACTATCTAATTTTAGAACATTTCTATCATCCGCAAAAGAAACCCTGTACCTGTTAGCACTTATTACCCATTCTCCCTGTCCAACAGCCCCTAGCCTTTTCCAGGTGTTTCATATAAATGCAATCATACAGTAAGTGGTCTTGCACAGCTGACTTCTTTCCCTTAGCATAATGCTTTCAAGGTCCCCCCCCCCATGCTGTAGCATGGATCAGTGTTTCATTCCTTCTTATTGCTGAAATATATTCCATTGTATGGCTCTACCACATTTAATTTATCTACTCACCAGTTGATGGACATTTGGTTGTTTTCACTTTTTGATTCCTATGAATATGCTATGAACATTTGTATACAGGTTTTGTGTGGACACACGTTTTCGATTCTCTAGAATGTATATACCTAGGAGCGGAAGTGCTGGGTCATATGTTAACTCTGTGTTTAACATTCTGAAAACTGGCAAACTGTTTTTCACAGCAGCTGCATCATTTCCCATTTTCACCAGCAGTACACAAGGGTTCCAGGTTCACCGCATCCTCACCAACACTAGCTGTTGTCTATCTTTTTAATTATAGCCATCCTTGTGGATGTCAATTGGTAGTTCATTCATATTTATTTTTAATGGTCAGCTGAAAAATTTTTGTGTCTAATTATGAAAACTACCTCAAAATTTTTTTATTGTGGTAAAATATACATGACATAAAATTTACCATTTTAACCATTTTTTAAATGTGCAATTCAGTGGCATTAAGTACATTCACAGTGTTGTGCAACCATCACCAATATCCATTTCCAGAACTTTTTCATCATCTTAAACTGAAACTGTGTGCCATTAAACAATAATTGCCCATTCCCCCACTCCTGGTAACTTCTAGTCTACATTTTATCTCTATGGAATCACCTATTCTAGGTACATTATATAAGTGAAATTATACAATATTTGTCCTTCTGTGTCTGGCTCGCTTCACTTCGTATAATGTCTTCAAGGTTCATCCATGTTATAGTATGTATCAGAATTTCATCCCTTTTTACTCAAATTCTTTTTGTAAGCAGAGCTGGTATAATTTTAAACACCAAGCTAATAAAGAAAATGTGCCTCACACTCTAGGATGCTCTGTGCTTTGGCTTAAAGATCCCGGGGCAGCTTCTTATCTTAAAGAGAGGCACGCTCCCTGCCCCCTGGCTTGCTGTGGAGGGGTCTGGTGACCTTTTGCCTCCTATCCTCATTGGTGAAGTCAGAAGACATTTCTTCTGAAATGTTGCTGATGTAGATTTTCCTGACAGCAGTGATGAAGACTTGCTGAGGGGATTTTAGGCTAAGCTTCCTTGCGGTAAAACACTAGAAGAGGAGACATTTTGCTCTTCCTAATATTTCTAAACCAGGAATGATTCATTGGTAGGGGCAAAAAGTACAAGTTGCTTTTGCCCAGGGAGCTCATAGAGCCAGTATGTAAGTACCAGTAGATTTTATTTCAGCATTTAACTTCCGCAATCATACTATCTACCATTTTATGTCATTGATTTTACAAATAATGGTACTCCGATATGTTGTTTATAAAGTATAACTGCCTTAAGGCATGTTTGTCCAGAACATATGCCCAGCAAAGTCTGTGTAACTGGGATGAAGTCCATTCTTTATTCATAAAAAAGTTATTAAGTGAATTCTGTTGACTTCTGATTTGTTGTGTTTATACAGTTTTCCTAAATAAACACCAAAGGCATTATCAGCATTCTCTTGACTTCTTAGATTAAAACTTTGGAACAGACCAAAGCCATCGAAGACCTAAGTAAATCCAGAGACAAACTGGAGAAAATGAAGGAGAAAGCTGAGCAACAGCTAATGTCTGTCAAGTCAGAACTGGACACTACAGAGCATGAGGCTAAGGAGGATAAAGAGAGGGCCAGGAACATGATCGACGTGGTAACCAGAGACGTGAAGACACTAAAAAAGTCTCTGGAAGAAGCAGAAAAGAGAGAAAAGCAGGTGGGTAGAAAGAAATCTGGTGACGAAACCTCCTTATTTAGAAAAGATAGGACAATTCCAAAGCTTGGTCATTATTCATACATGTCCTCATAAACAATTTACAAAGCTTTCAGTATCATTTCAACATCTCTGCCTGCTGCCTAGCGTCTCTTTGTCATTAAAAGAACCATTATGAATTACTTTGCTAAGAAGAGTAGTTCACATTTTCATGGCATGAACTATAGGAAAGAGAAAGACGTTCTCATCAAAGCAATGGAAAGCCTGTGAAAAGCCAGGTTCTGGTTGTGGAGAGGTTTTTTATTATGTTTGCCAACTGCCTCTGAAGTTTGCATTATCCCACATCTAACAGTTACCAGGGCTTCAGCCTCAGGAGGTCAGGATAAACCTTATCTCCAGCCGAGATCGGTTGCAGAAAACGGCCCCAAATCTCAGACAGTGGCACCCAGACTCGATGGCCAACCAAAGCCAGATGGAAACCATAAAATAGTACTCACTCGCTTGCTGGTTGCAAGGAGGAGAGTTTTATCTGGTGAGCACATCAGGAGGTCAGGCAGAAAGAAGCATGTACTGGGCAGCTTGACCCCCAATGCTTTTGGCTTTCATCTCACTCTCTTCCCGAAGCTCAAAAGGGTGTCGAGTGGACTCTGATCCTGGGATATTTTTTCTCTTCAGCTGCCTCTGCTCTGGCTCATGTGTCAGGCTGAGTTGAGGAAGGCCAAACCATGAGTAAGTGCTCTCAGAGAGAGACTGCTCCAGAGTTAAGAGCTCTGGTCATATTCGAAAGGACGGGGAAGTCTGAGGACAGGAGATGAGGCTGGAGAGAGCTTCGTTTATGCAAGTGCATTTCCCAAATTGGACTCAGCACAGGAAGGTTGGAAAGCGAGTGACCACATGGTGGGACCGTTTGGAAGGCAGTTCTCCTGGATGCCACATCTGTCTTCAAGGTGGATCACACCTTTTCTAAAACGGAAGGCACCTCTAGTGAGGTGTTGCCCAGATATTGCTAATTTACCAGCTTCTGCTTTAGCCTAGAATCACCAACCAGTCTATGAGAATTTGAAGGGGTGTGAGGCCCATTTCAACCATTGTCTTCAGTCCTCACTACTTCTCCCCTTTCTCCCAGTTTTCCTTTTGTGATGGACTAATAATAGTAGTCCCAGAGAGTCCAACATTATGGGTTGTGAGGTGGCCATTGTGTGATGTGAGCTGAGCGTCATTTAGAAGTCCTCCTATTTTCGTCAACTCACACTTTCTTGCCATTTGTTTTTCCTTTAGTTGAAGAGCTTCATTGCCCAGTTAACATTCCAGTGCAAAAGCGCTTATTACCCATGGGCACAACCACACCAACATTTGGAAAACACTTCCCAGCTCGCAGAACACATACACAGCCGTTATTTCATTTGATCTGAATTTCAGGGCAGCTCTGGGAAGTAGGTAGGTGGTTATGCCCACCCTGGAAGTGAGAAAATGAAATCTTTGTGAGGTCAGACCCTCTTTCATGGGTGTTTAACTGGGATTCTTGACTTTGGTAGCCAATACCACGTTGATTGGCTCATCAGAAAAGTAGCTATGGAATCAATGAAGGGTGGTGCCTGAAAGGACTGTACAGGTAATTTAGTAGCCTTGACTTCTTATTTTATAAATGAGACAGGTAAGGCTAAAGACAGTAAGTAGCTTACCTGCCTCATACACACCTGGGTTTTCTATAGTTTTTTGTTGTTGCGTTTGGCCTAGCAGTTGTTGATACATTTGCTGTCTCAGCTAATGTGTTTCTGTTTGATATTCCAGCTGGTGGACTTCAGGGAGGTGGTTTCCAAGATGCTGGGCTTACACATAAGTAGCCTTGCTCTTCCTGACTATGAAATCATCAAATGTCTTGAAAGGCTGATTCATTCACATCAACACCACTTTGTCACCTGTGCCTGCCTCAAAGATGTGACTACCAGCCAAGATAGGCACCCACAAGGCCACCTGAGAGTTCTTCATTGAGCACTGTATCTCTTGAGGGGTATGGAGCTAAGAGATGGGACACAATGCTCAATTTCATGAATTCCCCAAACCTTTGAAATGTTGTCAGTGTGTGAATATTATATCCTTTGATAATAGGGCGAGAATCCATCATTGCTAACAAAGAATCTGTAAGGTGCCAGCCGGAGATAAGCGCTCGGCAATAAAGACACCTATTATTTCATTTGCCAGCACTTTGGGACCCAGGAGAACTTCACTAGGTTGCACATCTAGAATGGGAGATGTCGGTAGGAAATTAACATTTATGGGAGTATCTATATGAGTTGGGGGCTTTACTACCCAATTAATTCTTATAATAACCACATGGAGAAGCTTTAATGTTTTTATTTTACAACTTCTGTGGGGTGCAGAGAGGGTGTTACCTACTCAAGGGTGCAGCTGGCTTGGGACAGAACCAGGATGCGCCAAAGGCCATCCCATCTTGGTCTGCCACTCCACCCTCCTTCAGTTTCTCTGAATCACTGTGATTCTGGTGAAAATTGCCCGCATAAAGGAAGGAAAAACATCCATGCAAACAAGAATTGAAGTCCAAAAGTAACTGAGGTCTATGAGTGTAACCTATGCGATTTCTTCAAAACGCAATACACCTAATTATTTGGCTAAAACATGCACGGTCTGAGGCCCTGTAAGAAACTTACCTGTTTTAAATATTGTTCCCAGATTGCATTTGGTTGTAGTTTTTAATGTCAGAACAGGGCTGATCTCGGTACTTTAAAAATGATACCTTTTTGGGCCGGCCAAGTGGAGCATTGGTTAAGAACTGGCTTGGGATGCCAGAGTGCCCCGGTTCAGATCCCACATATGAGGGCCAGTGACACTGCCCTCCACAGCTAAGATGCTGAACAACAGCTCG